CCCCAAAACCCCAAAACCCCAAAACCCCAAAACCCCTTTGAAATTGCCAAGATTGAAATTAGAATTTATCTACTGTTTTACTTCTTATGCTTGTAACTATTCTTCACATGCTGGCTGTCATTTCCTTCAAATGTCATATGGATAGTTTCTGGTTGTAGTTCTCTAGGGTTGGCCTCCACCCTTGAATTGAGATTAGTGATGTATTTCCTCTCAAAATTATCAATAGTCATCCCTTTGTTTTCTACAGGAGACATAAAACTTAGGTTTTGAGCCATTCCTTTTGCTCTATGACTATTTTTACTCTTCTTTATTTTCTTCCTGTTCTTTACAGCAGGAATCGAAATATTTAGATTCTGGCTCGGTTCAACAGAATTATTCCTTCCTGGTGATTCATCAAAAGAGGAGTGTCGATTAGGAGAAGGATTAATGCTTCTGTTTATTGGTGGAAAATTTAATGAAGGAGCTGAAATCTCCTGAATTCCCACTATGCTTCTAGAGCGCATCCCTGTAGAACCACGCATATAATTCTTCTGTTTCAAAATTTTATTCTGTATAATTTCATCTAGCTCTTGTTTTCCTTTCTGGTGGTATCCCATAGCATCTACTTTGAACCCAGCGCCAGAAAAACTGGTTGAGCTGTTATCTATAGCTTCTCTTCTTTTGCCTGAAACCTAATGCATAAAACTCTCAATGACTTACAGATCTCTTATGTGATATAGGCACAGGATTCTTGAGCATCTCATTTAGTCTTAAAGCTCTACGTTGAGAATTAACTTCTGCGAGCTTGAGCTTCCTACTCTTTTCTATAAATCAGGAATCACTGATACTCTTTTTATGAGGGCTTATCAAAACCTGTGATTTGTCCTGCATCATCGCTTTGTGGTGCTTTTCTTCCTCATCTTTTATATACATATCGTTTTGGATGCCATCTGAAGATTTCTTTTTTCTTTTGAGCTCCTTAGCCATCTAGAGTATGCTCAATGGGGCTTACTTTTGAGATGAAATCTTGCACTGCATCATCAGTTATTTCAACAGGAGCTTTCTTTGGGATAACTTCATCATCAATCTCTTGATCAGAAGGGATGAGAGACCTAAAATTTAAGGAATGGGTTGGTATTCTTACTTGTTCCCAAAGTTACGCTTCGAGTTTTGTGATTCTTTCTTATGCTTTGGAGCCAAGTTAGATCCTTCTATTCTAGGTTTTCATTAAATTTACCATTCAAGTCTGAAGTAGGCCCTGAACCCTCAACATGATCACTCATATAAGAGTTCTCTTTGATTAATTGAAGTTGTTCCTTCTGACCATTATCCCCAGCTCTGAGTGAATTCTTTGTCAGATCTTGCCTTAATTTTTGAGAATCCTTCTTGCTTGGATCGATGTACTTCTCTCCATTTTTATTTTAGAAAGGCTATTTGGTTCTATATTAACATCTAAAAATGAACCATACTCCGTTCATATTCTTAGAATTCTGTGAAACGTTATTCTTCATGCTAAATCGATGACTTTCTGGCAGCTTGGAGACTTCTGGTTGGGCAGTCTCGCTGCTTTTTGAGAGATCCTTGTTTTTGAATTGGCTGAAGACGGTTTCTCGGTGCTCAAAACTATTTCTAGCAGGAATATTTTCATTAGCCTGATTTCTACTTTCTTGTGAAGAAGTGTTAGAATTTTCATGGGAATTCCCATTATTATACTTCTGGTTACGTTTAGAGACAGCTTCAATAGTAGACTCTAGAGAATTTATCTTTTCATTGAATTGCTTAGATGAATCGGCCAGATTCATGATCTCATGCTCTTTGAGATGGGTGATTTGGGTGTCTAGAGCTTGTAATTTGGTATTTATATAAGTGTGAGTACGCATTCTCTTTTGATTCTCAGACAATAGGTCTTTCTTTATAGATTGTAACCTTTCTTCAAATTGTTTTTCTAATTCAGAAATTTCTTTCTTAATGTTATCCCTGTAATTAAAATTATTATGAATTCTAAACCATAAAGATCATACCTATACTTCTGATTTTGCTGTTTATTCTCAATAACCATTCCCTCCAAGCTCTCTTCAAGCTGTTTTAGCCTATCATCATTGGTTTTCCGATATTCCTCTTGCTCTTGCTGAGCAGTTTCAACCCCTTTATCGACTTTTTCTCTAACCTGTTTAAACCCATCAACCTGCTGTTGCTCTAGAACTTCAAATCTAGCCTGAACCGCCAAGATCCAGTCTTTGAACTCTTCATATTGCATCTGTGGACCAATGAGGCCTTGTACTTGCACTGTTCGTACCAGCATTTGTACAAGTTCTTCCTTCTGCTGTTGTAAGGATTTTATAACTACATTTTCAAGATTTTCCTTAATCTGATCAAATACAAAAGTCTTAAGCTCCTCTTTACCAAAGATATCATCAAGCTTGGCTTCTACTTGGCCTGTGACCTTGTCCATCTTTTTCTTGACTTCAGCAGAGAGGATTTCAATGTACTCTGACTTACTAGTGACTAGGCCAATAGATTCGTTGATCATCTTCCTAGCGTACCGCTCAAGATCCTCAACTAGACATGAGTATTGGAGACTTACTCTTGGTCATCAGTTTAGACTCAGCAGTCATCAGTTGGTTAGTAAGCACATGGTTCGTGTTCTTCAGCTGATTATTGGTCCTATCCATCTTATGGCTCAGATCCTCTAAGTTCTGAATAGAGGCTAAGCAGCTCTCCTTACATCACTTTATACCCTGTATGAGGCAGAATGGGATGTTGTTCCATGAGTCTGGATTTAGAGACTCCAGAGTAGTCCCTTTGAAGCTTTCAAGGAAGTCGTTTTCCTCTAGCTCAAAATCACTTTCCATTTTAATATTTCAATTATTCCTTAGAAGAAAGGGGTTTTGGGGTTTTGGGGTTTTGGGGTTTTGGGG